TGTCTCTTACCTAGGAGGGAGAAGGAGTTGCATATGTCCAACAGCTGCAGGGGGGGGGGATGGGCAGCTGAGCGGAGGGTGCTGCTCCTGGAGACAATGGAGGCAATTGTAGGAGAGTTGGATGGATGGAAGGAAAAACAGGTGTATGGTTGGTGGAGCCAAGGAACAGCTTAAGGGTGTGGCAAGCGATCACAACCAAGAGGAGGGAAAATTTAGGGATTATGTCCTTGGCCTTCACCCAGTGCTTTCCTAGCATTTGTTACCTTGGAAACATTGTCTATCACCAAATGTTACTTATTCTGCATCTGCCAAGGTCTGGACTGCTTTTGCAGGCACTGTACCAGGAATGCTTTCCAGACATGCAACTTCCCCACACCAGCTACAACATACTCTCACATGTGACCCTAATTTATGGTCTCTCAGTCTTACTGTGTGTGTGTGTGTGTGTTTGTGAACCCAGGGCCTTGTGCTCTTGCTTGGCTTCTTTGCTCAAGGTTGGTACTCTACTACTGAAAATTTAGCTAAGCTCCCCTTCCAGCTATTTGCCAGTTAATTGGAGGTAAAAGCCTCTCTGATTTGATTGCCCAAATTAGCTTTGAACCCAAATCCTTAGATTTCAATCTCTTGAGAAGTTAGGATTACAGGCATGAACTACCATTCCTGACTTCAGCCCCGCTTTTTGAAGAATAACCCAAGGTCAGAGAAATCAGGGATGGTCCCAGTTTGTCAGTTAGACAAAGGCAAAGCCTAGGTGCAGATCTCTTAACCAAATTCCATGGTGTATGGCAAGATATTGGAGGTTTATCCTCAGATCAACTTCTAATGACTGTTTATAGGCATGGAGCCAGCTGGGTCTGACTCACCTGGGGATGAGGCATGAGAGTGGGACTCTTATTTCCCAACATAGAATAGCTAGGCATCATGCTTCAGTACCAAAAACAGATAAAGGAAAGTTTGTTAAAGAACCTACAGGAGCCAGTTACCAGTGGCTCGCGTCTATAATCCTAGCTACTCAGGAGGCTGAGATCTGAGGGTTGTGGTTCAAAGCCAGCCCAGGCAGGAAAGTCCGTGAGACTCTTATCTCCAATTAACTATCAGAAAACCAGAAGTGATGCTGTGGCTCAAGTGGTAGAGCGCTTGCTGAAGAGCTGAAGAGCTGAGGGACAGCATCCAGGCTCAGAGTTCAAGTCCCACGACCAACAAAAACAACAAACAAACAAACAAAACTACAGAAATCAACACACTCCATTGCAGTGGTCTTGCTAGAGAACCTGCAGGTTTTGCAGAAAGGCACCACAAGGTCCGTGGCCCAGGATAAAATTAATCATTGAGAGGACACTGCCACCTTGTGGCATCTACTAAGCATTGCACAGCATCCTGTTTTGGAGAACAATTTGTGTATTGGAACTTTGCTTTTCCTTCTCCATTCCTCTTACTTTAAGTTAGATAAAAGCACTGGTATTTACTCAGTGAGTGAGAATGAGAGTAAGTATGTATTTGAGCAAATTTAATCAAGATTGGCTCTTACAAGGAAAATGAGCAGAAGTTTCATCACTATTGTAGCAAAAGCAGCAAAAAATAAATTAGGACTTTCTTTTTTTTTTGGGGGGGGGGTCCAGCAGTGGGGCCTGAACTCTGGGCCTGCGCACTGTCCCTCAGCTCTTCAGCTCAAGGCTAGCACTCTACCACTTGAGCCACAGTGCCACTTCTGGGTTTTTCCTTTTTGCTTATGTGGTGCTGAGGAATCGAACCCAGGGCCTCATGCATGCAAGGCAAGCGCTCTACCACTGAGCCACCTACCCAGCCCTGAATTAGGACTTTCTTATGATTAAACTTTTTTTAAATATGGGGGAAATTTTCAGAATTCCCTTTACCTTTAATGAGTGATATATATATATATATATATATATATGTGCATATACATATATATAGGTAGATAGACAGATAGATAGATGGATTGATGATAGAGTGTAGGAAATTTCTAATTGCTAATCAGTTGTATACAGACATCTTGTCTCTCCAGGAAAATTATCTCAGTGGAAGTCTTGGTGATGAGCCAGTCCTTTACTTTGAAAACAATCTGTTAGTTTGTGACTGTAATCCAACTCCATTTGGCAAGGCAGAGACATCTTTCCCAGAACAATCAGATGAGATGGCTGGGGTAGAGGATATTACTCTACTATTTTTCTTTGTTCCTTCCTTCTTTCCTTCCTTCCTTCCATCCATCAGTCTTTTTCTAAGCCCACTAACCCCACCTAAGGGATAGCAGAAGCAGGGTTCTGAGCATGCTAGGACAGGGGCTGTGTGAGGTGTTTTCCCAGGTGGGTTCCACTTAAGGAAGAAATCGTTCTGAAAAATAATGGTAGGTTAAGTCCTAGGCATTAAAAAAATAACCAAAGGCTGGGAGCAGGTGCCTCATGCCTATAATCCCAGCTATTCATGAAGCTGAGCTCTGATGATCACAGATTGAAGGCAGCCCAGACAGAAAAGTCTGAGAGAGTTATTTCCAACTAACAAGCAAAAAGCTGGAAGTAGAGATGTGGCTCACGTGGTAGAGTGATAGTCATGAGCAAAAAAGCCAAGCGAGAGCATGAGGCCCTGAGTCTAAGCCCCAGTACAACACACACCCAGAACAGGGATGAAAGGGGAAGGATATTAAGGAAGAAAGTCCACCTTAATTGTGAGTTGAGCCATACAACTAAGTGAGGCACCTAAAGCTGAGGATGAATACATATTTCATACATCTGGAATGAGAGAAAACAATGTATTTCTGCGGTAAGGACTTGAAGAGATTCTAAAGGAAAGTTCTGGATTATCTTTATCACCCTAGTTACTATGTCCGATTGCACATATGTGTACTCAATTATACCACAATTTCTACTTTGAATTCCAAGCCAGTAGGGTTCTATGTTTTTGACCCAGGCTGTCACGCTGTCACTTGAACCACAACTCCACTTCCAGAATTTTGGTGGTTCATTGGAGATAAGAGTCTCATGGACTTTCCAGACCAGCTTTGAACTGTGATCCTCAGATCTCAGCCTCCTGAGTAGCTAGGATTACAGGTGTGAGCCACCAGCACCCAGCCTGGAAAACCTGCTTATTTGTAGAAAATCAGCAGAATCGGAGGGCCATGAATCTGCCCTGGGTGCGAGGGAGCAGAGCAAAGCAAATCTGAAGAGGTCCTAGGTCTGCCAGTCTAATGTGGGTCAGGTCCTGGTTGAGTGCTAGCCGTGGGTGAGCACTCAGTCAGGAGTATGCAAAGGACCTGTGAGGAGGTGAATCTCGGGTGGGACGCAGCCATCTTCTTGGTGAGCTGAGCTTACCTTGACCTTGTCTTCAGGGTCAAGGTTGGGCTGCTGGAGGTTGGTGGGAAGAGACAGTGCAGAGCTCTGCTTGCCCATGAGAACTTGCAATCCTGACAGTGCTTTGGGGTATGGGCAGAAAACTCAGAGGTTGTGAGGATGCATAGAGTTATTCCACGAGTAAGATTGGGGAGGTATGGGTACAATCGAAGCTTCCAGAGTGAAAAGCCCCGGTCACGCCCATGAGCAGCTGCTTCGGCCCTTCCCACTTCTTGTCAACCCAGGCCAGAGTCCGTAGGCCTGAGAGGCTCAGTACCAGAGCCTCTTTTCCTCTCCAAGAAGCTCTAAAGCCGGAAGCCTGGGAGCATCTGTCAAACCTGGGGAATCAGGCATGATGGTAAATCTCCCTTCCTTTCCTCTCCTCTGAATACCAGGGAAGGATGTTCATCTGTTTGGTCTGTTTTCCTTCTCTTGCACCCTGGGGAATGGCTCACAGACAAAGCTGACACCAGACCCCCTTGGTGTGGGTCTTCAGTCTCCTTCTCTTCCAACCCTTCTTTGCTCTGACAAAACTCATCCCCCTGTTGCTTCTGGCCATCTCTTCTCATCTCCTTCCTTAGGAGGAGGTGTCTGAAGATGAGGGAAGCCCCTAACAGAGACATTCTGGGGATGGATGAGCTGCGGAGAGCAGAGTCAGGATGGTCAATGTGGACCCCATCATTTTTCCTGGCCACCACTCAGCTTGATTAAGACCCCAGCTCTTAAGTGGCTCAGGTGCAGAGATCTCCCTACCCTGCCCTTGCTCCAAGGCCCAAGACAAAATCTCTTACGTGAACATGGGAGTGTGGCTGAGGGGCATCTCATCTCCGCAACACCGTGGCCATGATTTTGGAAACAGTGCTTTGGAAAGGCAGTCTTTCCTCCCCTCCTCCTGACTTTGCGAAGTGATAGGACTGGCTTGTTTTGTGCAAGCTTCTGGAGAGGTGGCTACAGGTAGCCTGGTTTTCTGCATTTGTCTAATGACCCTAGATCTCATTGGAATGACCACCCTCCATTCCATAAGTTCCACAGGATGGGCCTGGCCCAGCTGCTCCTCCATTATGAGACTTCCTGTGTAGCCTCCTCTCCCTGTTCTTCATTCCCTAGAGTCCCACCTAGAACTCTGCATCTGCCACACCTGAAGTGCCCTGTGGGAGGCATAGGAAAACCCAGGGATGAATGGGTTGGGGTCAGAGTAAGCCACTGGCACCATTTCAGTTTAATATGCAGTGTCTAAATGCTGATAGCCTGGGACAAATTCCCACCAGAAGCCCCTCCCATCGGGGATCTGTCTCCTTTCTAAGACTGAATTACTGGGGGGACACTGCCACAGTTTATATGGATAGCTGTTTTAATGAGCATTTGCGATGCGCGCAGAAACCTAGTAAGTCCATGTTCATATTGCTTGTCACATTCGGGTTAGCTCAGCTTGGAGACCGTGACTCTTCCAAGACTTCTTCTACGGAGCTTAGTGTCTCTTTGTCCCTGGATCTAGCCTTGGGCCACACTCAGCCAGTTCCTTATTACTGGTAGATGAGTGGCTGAGGGTTGGCTTCTGGGACTGCTGGGCCAGACTCCAGGACAGCAGCATCTTGTTGTGGGAACTCGCCCCAGGGTGTCAGAAGGTGGATCTGCTTCTGAGCAGGCCCAGGGAGAGCCTCACTGGGTGCGGTCCTGCTTGCCCTTCTGGGGCAAGAGACCCAGGCTGAATCCCCCGCAGAGCAGCTCATTGCACAGAGCATAATTGATAGCATTGACTGTGGGCACCATTTTGGCGATAAGGGCGGGCACCTGGGGTGGCAGAAAAGGCCAGGAAAGACATTTCAGGGTTTTTCCTCTTCTTCCTCATTCCCACCAGGTGACTCCCTGCTCCACCCCCCACCCCCCACCCCAGGCTGCCCATCACAGAGTCCTGATTCTGAAGCCTCTGGGCCTCTCCTGAGTAGCTGGCAGATGTGTCGGGCTCATGAAGTCCCGCGGAAACCCAGTCCATCCACCCATGCTCCCATCCACGCCAATCTCAGCCCCTCATGACTGTAGCATCAATTCATTCATCCTGTCAGCTCAGTGAGCAGAGAATGCTGAGGGGCCAATTCTCCACTCATCATCTCTTCTAAAAAGGAGTGTGGGGGGAGAAGGGAATGAGAGTGGGGGGGCCAGAAGGTGAGGCAGAGAGATGCAAAAATGGAGAGCCTTCTAGCATTGGACCCTGGATGTATCTACAAGTATCTGTACCATCTGCAGCTTGGGGGAGATGGAGTTCACATCCATGATGGCTGCATAAAAATACAGGAGGGCATAGGGACCCCAGCCCAACAGCAATGTCCTGGTTGGCAGAGTGGTGTTCACCTGGAGAGAAACAGGCATTGGAGGCATCATTTCACCCCAGCTGTCTGCAGTCTTGAGAGGGTAGGGAGACTAGGTCTGTACTTACCAGCTCTGAGCAGCAGGGGCAAGGCTTCAGGAAGATTTTTGAACCGGCAGAAGACCGAAGGACTTTTATGGGTTTCTCTGCTTTGGAATACCATGGGACCCAAGGCCTGCTTTTTAAGTGTACTTGAGTTCAGTTGCTTTGTTTAAAAAGAGCTTATGAACACCTGGCTTGCTTGGAGGCAAGGGCTACTGGTGGGATTGGATACTGGGGATCTTTCCTCTTTAACAGTATTCAGGGCTCTGTGACTGTGTGTGCAAAAGGGTCTCCAGGCACAGAACAAGCTCATCATTAGTGGCAGCAGACACCTGGTGACAGCGACCTGTCAGAGCTCAATGGATTTCCAGGGCATCAGATTCAACCAAGGAGCAGGTCCCACCTGGAGCATGGTGGATGCTCAAGTTCAACCTAGGGCCACAAGGGGGCGCCAACGTTGAACTCTAATTTCAGGGTGGATTTGTTATGTGCTTGCTCCAGAAGTCTTACATAGTAAAATGTTGATGTAACATACCAATATCAGTGCCACATTTTTTGGTGTGTAGTCCTGGGGCTTGAATTCAGGGTCTCATTCTCTTTCCTGGATTGTCCCCTCAAAGTACTCTATTGCTTGAGCCTCACCTGTACTTCTGGCTCTTTGTTGCTTCACTGAAGATAAGAGTCTCATGGAATATTGTTTTTTTTTTCTTTTGCCTGAGCTTGCTTCCCACCTCAATATCCTCAGATATCAGTCTTCTGAGTAGCTAGGGTTACGGGTGTGAGCTACCAGTGGCCAACCAGGGGATATAGTTTTCTTTTGAGTTGTCCCTTCTTCTGGAGAAAAACTAAAGGCGTAGGATGGGGAGGATCAACACTAAGAGACTACTTGGGGAGAAGCTGAGGCTGGAGAAGAATCTGTACCTCAGTGGGTGTCCACTCAGATCTCTCCAAGGCCATCTGTGCCTCAGCTGTAGGGATATTGCCGATGGCTTAAGTGAACAGAGGTAACAGGAAAGACATGGTGCCAGCCTTAGTTCCTGGCTGACCGAACTTCAGAAAAATGGGGCTTTGTGTATGCAGATAAGACTTGGGGGAGCAGAGTACAGGGTATGGCCAGGGCTGGGAGCTGGGAGCTGGGATCCTGGCCCCAGTGCAGTCCTTGTATTTCTGTGACTTCACAGGCATGTGCATCTCCTGCTGAGCTCCATCTACACAGTCCATTCCCCATGCACAGAAATTTTAAAAATAATGAGGAAGCAGATTAAGGGTCTTCATAATGAAACTGGATAGCATACTGCTGTTTATAATTGGTGATAGCTATGAATAAAGACTGACACAAAGGGACTACTAGGCAACCACAATATTTTTTTTCTGTTGTGGGGCTTGAACTCTGGGCCTGGGTTCTGTCCCTCAGCTCTTCAGCCTAAGGCGAGCGCTCTACCACTTGAGCCACAGCACCAATTCCAGTTTTCTTGTGGTTACTTGGAGATAAGAGTCTCACAGACTCTGCCTTGGCTGGCTTTGAACCTTGATCCTCAGATCTCAGCCTCCTGAGTAGTTAGGATTACCGGCACCTGGCTGCCACAAAAAAAAGTTTTTTTGGTGTGGGAACTATGGTTGAACTCAGAACCTAGCATTCTTGCTCAGTCCTGCCTCCCCTCCTTCCCCCCCCCCCACACACATAAGGCCTCCACTTCTGGCATTTTGCTAGTTAATTAGAGATAAGAGTCTCTCAGATTTGTCTGCCCAGGTTAACATCAACCCATGATCCTCAGAATCTCATCTTCCTGAGTAGTAAGGACTGAAGGCGTGAAGTATCAACACCTGGCAGGAGAGTGTGCTTTTTTTAATGCTCTATGAGTACTATAGTGGTGGAGTCCCAGAGAAGATTTGGATCCATGTCTGTTATTACCAGGTGTGTGACTTTTGGCAAATTGCTTAGCTAACCTCCCTTTGTCTCAATCCAGTTTGTAAAATAGGGCAAGCAAAGCTTTGCTTTCTCAGACAGTGGTCACCAAGAGGAAATAACAATGTGCATGAAGTAATATTGATACCTGTCTTAAAAATACCCCGAAATATTCTGTCTGCTATGACTTATTTGCTAAATTGCCCAGGTAACAGAGTTAAAAGTGGCAAGGGAATAGGAATACAGAAATGTGGAAATATTCCAGAGGACTTCCTTTGAAGCATTGTTTTTCTTGGACAAATATGCTTGTAGGTATGATTTTTATGTTGTAACAGCCTGTGACTGTGATTAAATCAAACATCTGAAAGCAACTGAAGTGTTATTTAAAGGGTCTGTAATTTTGTGCTAAGCCTCAAATCCTTGTGAAGTGTTGAGTGTGAAGGCATGGGCGGAATCTGGCAGGAGGCCCTGGCTCCTGGGGTTGAAGGGTATGCATCACTCCCAACCATCCCAGCCCTTCTTCCCGGGACTTGGTGAGGAGGGAGAGTGACCTTTCACCTTTCACAATCCATGCTCTATGGAAGCTGAAATTTCTCTTCATGATTGCAAATCCAAAAACTCTGAGTAATGCCAGACATTGGTGGTTCAGGTCTGTAATTCTACCCAGGAGGCTGAGATCTGAGGATCGTGGCTTGAAGCCAACCCAGGCAGGAAGGACTGTGAAACTCTTATCTCCAATTAACTACCAAAAAAAAAAAGTAGAGCTGTGGCTCAAGCAGTAGAGTGCTAGCCTTGAATAAAAAGCTAAAAGAAGCAGGATACCAGTGGTTTAAGCCTATAATCTTAGCTACTCAGAAGGCTAAGATCTGAGGGTTGAGATTCAAAGCTAGCCTGGGCAAGAAAGCCTGTGAGAATCTTAAATTAACAGGCAAAATGCTGGAAGTGGAGCTGTGGCTCAAGTGGTAGACAGCTAAGAAACAGTGCCTGGGTCCCAGCATTCAAGCCTCAAGACTGGCACAAAGGAAAAAGAAAAGAAACCTTGATTGACACCCATCACAGCGTGCATGTACCCTGGGAGGAAGCAAGGGATTTCTGCTGCTTTAGGAGCTGCTCTTTACCTGGAGACGGCCACTCCTTGCGAATTTCTGCTTCATGAGCTGGTAGGAGGTGAGTGTGATGAACAGGGGCACTAGGAAGTTGAAGAAGGCCATGGTGAAGAGGAAGCTGGTGAAGTTTCTACAGGTAGGAGGTTGAGGAACAAGGTCAGTGCTCACCTGCCCTCCCAGGCCCACCAGCCTCTGCACTCCACAGACAGGTGCGGAGAACCTCCATTGGACAAGCACACAGAGTGTCATCACTCCTGGCCCCAGCTGATCTCTTCAAGAAGTTTTCTCAAGCCGGGCACCAGTGGCTCACACCTGTAATCTTAGCTACTCAGGAGGCTGAGATTTGAGGATCGTGGCTCACAGCCAGCCTGGGCAGGAAAGTCTGTGAGACTCTTATCTCCAATAAACCACCAGAAAACCAGAAGTGATGCTGTGGCTCAAGTGGTAGGGCGCTAGCCTTGAGCTGAAGAGCTGAGGGACAGCTCCTAGGCCCAGAGTCGAAGCCCCACAACTGACAAAAAAAAGTTTTCTTAGAACTTGCCTTTGGGAATTAGATGGCTGAGATAAGGAAGAAGCTTCTTCAAGTTCAAGTGGTTGGCCTTCAACTTAAAATTGTTATTCCAACATGGAGAATGGAAGAACTTAGTTCAGGAGATATATTCACCAAATGATATCAGTGGAACCAAGAAGAAATATTCATGGAGTGTTCTAGGGGTAAGAAAAGAGCCTCTGGAGCCAGTGCCAGAGGCTCACACCTGTAATCCTGGCTACTCAGAAAGTTGAGATCTGAGAATCTCAGTTCAAAACCAGCCCAGGCAAGAAAGTCCATGAGATCCTTATTTCCACTTAAAAACCTAAAAGCTGAAGTAGAGCTGTGGTTCAAAGTGATAGAGCCTTAGCCTTGAGCAAAAGAGCTCAGGGACAGCACCTAGATCCTGAGTTCAAGCCCCACCATTGATGTGTGTGTGTGTGTGTGTGTGAGAGAGAGAGACAGAGACAGAAACAGAGAGACAGAGAGACAGAGAGAGAGACAGAGACAGAGACACACAGAGAGAGAGACAGAGACAGAGACAGAGAGAGTCTCTGGATGACAAGGAGACTGTCTAGTGTGCCTCTGAAGAAATAATTGAAGGTACCCAAAATGAGCCTGGACTCTCAGGTGATAACCATGGGGAAGAGGCAGGGCTGACCAAAAAAGAGCTAATGGATATTTCAGACATCCTTGTCCCAGAAACTCAAGGTCAAGGGGCCTGCAAGCCACTCCCCCCCTCTCACCTGTCACCCCTGGAGTAGTCCAAGGTACAGCAGGTCCCCAAAGGCTCATAGTTATAGTGACCCCAGCCTAGCAGGGGCAAAGCTGCCCAGAAGGCAGAGGACAGCCACACGAAGATCACCAGGGAAACGGCTGTGTCCCACCCCAGCAGGCTGCCTGCACAGACGAGAAAGGAGGAAGCAGAGTTTATGCAGGGAAGATACTTTGACCAAGTGAACAACAACAACAACAACTTGTGCTTGGACACAGGCCTCTATCATCCTCTCCCATCCTCCCTCCTTTCCTGGAACGAGTGTATCCTCTCCCCCGCCCCCCAATCACCTGTGGGAAGGCGCTGAGAAGTTATTCATGACCACCCCCACCTTGCCTCTACTCCTCCCCACACCCAAAGCTTGAGCTATCCCTTCATTGGGAGTGGGGACAAGACATACGGGTACAGTGATGATGACAGCGTCCCCAGGCAATGGCTGCGCTGCCGCTGATGCTGGCCAATGCTGTGACGAAGCCCTGGAATCCATGAGCCTGGCAGCCCTCCAAACCATAGGGCCAGTGCCTGTTGGAGACATTGGGCCCAGGTGATCTCTCCAGCCCTCCCCTGCCCCCCCCCCCCGTTCCCACACCTGCGCAGCTGCAGTTTGGTAGGTTCCTGCATGCTGTTCCTGCTTTTACAAAGAGGGTATTGTCATCTGCTTTTTCCAGGAAGGGAAGCAGGGCCTTTAGAGCTTAACTCATCTAGCTGGAGGGGTAGATCCTAGTGCAAGTCATGTATCGGGTTTGACGAAAGGTCTCTGCAAGGCCAGAGGTTTAACTGTTCAGCCTTCCTTCTGCAGGGGGAGGAAGGATGTTTAGAGAGGAAAAGGCACTAAGCCCCCATCACACACATAGATAAAAGCAAAGTTAGAGGGAAGACCCCAAGCCTCTCATCCCTCAGGCCCATCGGCCAAGTGTTTGTCCACTGCTTTAGACCCCACAGAGCCTTCACATCTGGATGAGATCAGCCTTCACTCATAGTGACCTACCCAGATGTGAAATACTCAGTCAGCTTAAGAAAAGAATCTAGAAATGCCTTCTCTAAGCTATGTGGGAATACCTTGGCTTGCATGTAAGGAGACAAGAGACTCCAGTCCAAATCCTGTTTGCTCTCACAAATACTTATTTAGGGCTACTTAGGTAGCATTGTTTCAAGTTATTTGTAAGTCGTTAAATCAATACTTCCAGCCACCCATATGAACTAGATGATAATATTCAATTCCTAAAGTAGGTGAGAGACATCATCAGCCACTCACTGATGGTTCATGCCTGTAACCCTAACAACTCAGGAGGCTGAGATTTGAGGATCTCAGCCTAGGCAGCAAAGTCCATAAGACTCATCTAATTAACCTCCAAAAAGCCAGAAGTGTAGCTGTGATTCAAGTGGTAGAGCATCAACCTTAGGGACGGCGTCCAGGCCTTGTGTTCAAGCCCTAGTGTGGATGGGTATGCTCAGGTGCATTCACACACCCCCCCTCCACACACACACACATACAGAAAAACAAGAAAATAAAAGTTAAAGAAATAGCCAAGAGCCAGAAAGAGGAAGCTAGAAGGATTCAATGAGGCCACCCTGTTAGAGAGTTCATGCTCTTAATCTTTGAGCTTGCTACATCTTTCAGGTTTGAGCAACCCCCATGTCTCGATATTGGCTATGGTTCTTCAGGGATCATCTGGAATTCAAATTTAGTCTAGTTCATACTGCCCAACCCTCTGCAATTGATTCATTTTCTATAGGTATAAACATTCTGGCCTGGCTTCCCAAGACCCTAAAGTCACACCTCAGGCAGGGCCCCAGAGTCTGTGGACCAGGGAGCTGGCTAGTACCGTAAGAGGCTGGAGATGGCGGCAATCAGGGCATTCAGGCTGATCCCACTGTCTGCCACGGCCAAGCTCAGAACCAGCAGGTGGTTGGGAGTCCGCAGCTCCCGGGTCTTGCAGAAAGAGAAGATGGTCAGACCATTGAGGCTGAGACCAGAGAGAGCTGAAAGGAAGGGTAGGGACTGGCATCTGGGCTGCTGTGAGTCACTTAGGGTCCCAACCAGGGTCTGGGGTGGGTGGAGCTTCAGCAGTCTCCACCCACTTCACACCCAGCAACTCTCTAGGTGCAGTTCATCAACTACTACTGAAGTGCTGAATGCTCTGCTCCATGGCTGGCCTCCTGCTGTGAGGAGCGCAATGTAATATGAGCACTAAGCAAATATGGCAACCCTGATAAGTGCATGTGACAAAGATCAGCTTATGCAGTCTGTGTGTGTGTGTGTGTGTGTGTGTGTGTGTGTGTGTGTGTGTGTGTGTGCTTGAGCATGTGTATATGCTAGTACTGGGGGCTTGATCTCAGGGCTTCAATCTCTCCCTTGGCTTTTTTTGCTCAAAATTTGCACTCTATTACTTGAATAACTCAAGAGGATGACTTAGAGAGGGGAGGCAGGAGGAAGAAATTTGGCTGGTGAACTGGAGATAAGACTTCCACAGACTTTCCTGCCCGAGCTAGCTTCAAATTGCAACCATTTGACCTTAGCATCCTAAGTAGTTAGTTATTGCAGCATGAACACAGGTGTTCAGCTCATTCAGTCTTCTCTTTGACCCTCTCCTCTCCATGTACAGTTGGGAAACTAAAGCTTAAAGACTCTCACTAACATGCCCTAAATACACAGTTGGTAAGTGGCAGAGCTAGGGCTCTGTCTTAGGTGTTTTAGATTCCAAAATGCCTTCTCTGGAGGCTGTGGAGAGAGCCTGGGAGACGATTCAAGTTAGAGCTGGAAGCTGTCCAGGGCCCAAAATGGCAAGGTGAACTTGAATTTTAGCCTGATCCCTCACCATAGGGCAGTAATACTTCAAAGGACAGGAATGTTCTTTGAGCTTTCTGAACTACAGCTTCATCCATCAAGAGAGCCTTTTTTTCCTGCTGGTCCTGAGGCTTGAACTCAGTGCCTTGGCACTGTCCCAGAGCTTTTGTGCTCAAGGCTATCACTTAAACATCTGAGCCACAGCTCTACTTCTGGCTTTTAGGTAGTTATTTGTAGCGAAGGGCCTCACTGGCTTTTCTGCCTGGGCTGGTTTTGAACCATGATTCTCAGATCTCAGCTAGTCTAGAGTGTTACACAAGTGATCTCTCTTAACCCCCATAACTATCTACTTGCAATATCAAGACTATGGAGTTAGAAGAGCTGAAGTGTCTTGGTTTTCTACTCACCTAGAAAGCAAGTGACAGAGCTGTCTGCCTTCAGAGCCTTCTGAAGGCCTGATCTTTTATGGGATTCTTAGCACAATTTCCCAGGAGTAAATTATATTTTCTCCTGGTTAGAGTGAAGTTTGAGTGTGGGTTCTTGGCTGACTCCTGGATACATCCTCCAAGTCTCTGCCTCCCTTACGTGTGTCTGGATTTGTTCTCCTATCCAGTGTAGTACATCTCCCAAAGGGGAGATGCCCTAAGATTCCTTGGGTCCAAATACCAGAAGAGGGTGTCAAGATGACATAACATCACAGCTGATTTGGGGGACTTCTCTGGCCAGTGCTATGGTTTGAGCTCTGAGAACCCACTGGATCCCTGTTCCACCCAACACTCTGCCTGGCTCACCTTCTACCAGCAGCACGGTGCCCACAGTCAGCACCTCAAGCTCCCCAAAGCCAGTTGGCAGGTCCCCGGATGTGGCCATCAGTGGTCTTCCTCCCTCTCAGTGGTCCTGCTCTGCTCTGTCTTTCCAAAATCAGACCCGTCCTTTATAAAGAACATTCCACATGCTGGCACATGCAGATTATCATGAAATAAGGGTTTTAATGCCTTCTTTTGCCTCCCCTCCTCTAAATCATCCTTTTGGCCCAAACCAAAGGAACCCATTCACCAGTCAGACAGTGTGGCCTTTGTGAAGCTAAAATAGAGCCCTGTCTCATTCATTTAAGCCCCACTAGGCAGGATTAAAGTCTGAGGATCCAAATGGCATGTGGCTGAGAGCTGAATTGGAAAAGTATTATTGCATAACCAAGGAGGGGAGTCGAAGGAGGGATTGGAGTGGCAGCTGTTCAGGAGGACTGGGTAGGAGTGGTTGTGTGTGTGTGTGTGCGTGCGTGCGTGCACACGTGCATGCGCACATGCACACACATGTGCTCACAGGATCACATAGGTGTGCTGGAAGGAACTGGGGAAAGGATGAGGTTTGGGGTATTACCTACTATCATAGAAAGAGAACCTCAGCTAAGGCCCGGGATTCCTGTCTGGAACTGACCGGTGACTAGCTTCGTGCTCTACAGTGGGACAACTCGGTCTTCTCAATTTCCTCCTTTGAAATTTAAGAGCGTCTTTTATTTATGCTCTGTCCTGTCTAACTAAACCTTGGTTAGAACACATCATGGATGTATATTGCAAGCCTTCATTTCCTGTCTCACATCATGCTTTTTCACTCTACGAGCATTTAAAAAAATATCCCAAGACATTGGCTTGGAACCAATGGTCTACTGTCTTCTTACGTGTCCTCATGACCCACTAAGAACTTTGCCTTCTACAAATGAAGTTTTTGTGCAATTTATATATCGGCTCCTGGTGAAACCACACCCAGTAAAATTGATCTGTGCAACTTAACTTGTTATCAGATGAAGAAACTGAACCATGGAGAAGTAATAATGATGTGACTGGTATCTACTTAGTTCAGGCTTTGTGCTAAGACATCTTCTGATGATTCCTGGAAAGGACTCCATAAATCAGGTGGCATTGCTCTCTTTATTTCAGATGAGGAAACTGCAGCAAGAAGTAGCTAAGAGGGCTGGGAAGGTGGCTCAGTGGTAGAACTCTTGCCTTGCATACATGAGGCCCTGGGTTCTATTCCTCAGCACCACATAAGCAGAAAAAAGCTGGAAGTGGCGCTGTGGCTCAAGTGGTAGAGTGCTAGCCTTGAGCTGAAGAGCTGAGGGACAGCGCCCAGGCCCAGAGTTCAGGCCCCACGACCAGACCCCCTCCCCCGCCCAAAAAGTAGCTAAGAATCAACCTGAGGTGTTGCCATAATTTTTAGGTGGTGCTGGAACAAATGTCTCATTTCCCATTCTGCAGTTCTGGGTACTTTTCACGGACATTTTCTCTCTGGCTAATTAGGCAGCTCCTTCTGAATGTCCCATTCCCAGGCTTCCCTCTTGTAAGCTCCCATTGATGTGTGAGCCTATCCACCCCTCGGAGCTGAACTTATAGTCATATCCTTCAGTGCCTTTCCCGCTCTTTCCCAATTTCGAACCATTTATTCTGAAATACTGCAGGAAAGAACTCATGAAAGACCAGAGAGGAGAAGGCCAGCAATAAAGAGAAGTGTCAGAGCCGGGCTGTGGTGGCTGATGCCTCTAATTCTAGCTACTCAGGAGGCTGAGAACTGAGGATCATGGTTTGAAGCTAACCCTTTGGCAGGAAAGTTCATGAGGTTCTTCTCTTCTACTAGCTATTAAGAAATCCAAAGGTGGAGTTATGCCTCAAATAGTAGAGCCTTAACCCTGAGCAGACAAGCTAAGGGATAGCACCCTGCGTTCAAGCCCCGTTACTGGCACTAAAAATAACAAAACAGTAGTGTCATCTAGGCAGATGAAAGAGGAAAAGAATCCCAGACAAAGAAGAAAAGGTAGCCCTGATTATCAAAGGACAAAACTTGTCTTTTGGCTGGAGAAGGAAGGCTCCAGGTACAGTGATAACACCAAGGGAATCCTATTGGTTAGATTTTTGGATGAGAGAAAGTGACTAGAAGCCATCGTCTTCTGGAATTCAATATCGTCAAAACAGACTTATGCCACAGGTAGGCACTACCTGTGATACTGGGTCTCTAGGTATCTTCTTCAATCAGACTTCTCTAACCTAGGCCTGTCCAGTCCCTGGATATGAGAGACAGGGGAACCTTTTAGAAAAGACAAAGGATATGAGTAGAGATGTTGGACCAGAAAGCAAAAAGAGTCATATGTGAAGAGCAAAGGGACGAGTCATCTGAGTGTGACTTAGCACCACCCCTGGCTGAGTCCCCAAGGTTTGGCAGGCTGACATTAGGGAGGAGACAACAGGTAAAAACTGCAAGTGTCTTCTCTACAAAATGTATGAGGTACTGTTCTAAGACCCTCCTTGGAGTACAATATGTACCTTCCTACAGACATGCCCCTTCCCTTAAGCTTGGGGGATAATACCCAGCAGGGCCCAGATGAGACCTCACTGTTCAGAGACCCATGGGAACCATCTCTGAGGTCTCTGAAATATCAGCATCTTTCCAGCTTCTCCATGAGTAGATACATCCAATAGAACGGGATATTTGCAACCGATGAGTGAGCTTCCATTCCCCCAGGTGGTCAGGGCCACGGAAACTTGGCTTGTTCAATTTTCATCAGCACTCTAGGTAGAATAGCTTTATTTCCTTTTTAAAAGGAATGTGCACACCGGTCAGGATCTGTAAATGGAAGAGCTAAGATTTGAACCTAGGATCCTGGCTCTGTAGTGTGGGGTCTTTCTAATGCCTTTGACACTTTCAGGAAGGCCTTGCTTTCAATACTGCTTTTTCAGTGAAGAGAATGTCATCGGGGAGAATTTCCAAAGGCCCTCATTAGACGTCTGAGTTTTGATTCCATTTTCCCTCATCCTCTGCAGCCCAATGAAATAGATCTATGCTACCCCCAGCCTGTTTGGCGTGGATTACTTTGCAGTTGGGCAGTTCAACCAGCCAATCCAGAAGTCAGTTTGCTTCTGGCCAGCTGTGCACCTGCTTTGTCTTGCTGCATCCCAGACTTACTGGACCTGGAGCTGTTGCTATGGAAAGGGGTCCTCCATCCCCCGCCCTCAGGACTGAGTGATTCAGGAAGCAATAAGCGGCTGAGTGGTGTGGCTGGGGCTTCCCTCCCTAATCCCTAGCCTGTCCATGTTTATCCGATGGCCTTAGGCAGGGGTGTAGAGGGAGGGCAGCAAGCAAGTGGGCAGCTGCTGGGTTTGTGGGGCTGGCAGGACGGAGAAGACCAGGTCCAGGCCCCCTGCTCAGACCACAGAGGAGCCAGGAGTCATGTGGGTAGCAGCGGGCATGCTCTGGCTCCTGGTCTTTGGGGGGCCCTATCAAGCCTGGGGTTCCTGCCCCTCTCAATGCAGCTGCAGCCTTCACATCCTGGGCGATGGCAGTAAGGCCAGGTATGGCACTGGGGGTGAGGGTGGGGTGGGTTGCTAAGTCTTAGGCTGGGTTGGGAGGGATTGGATGCTCAGCCCTGATCCTTACCTGAGGCCATTTGATAAATAAGGACCTGCTGGACCCAGGGCCTGTGGCCCGTGACTGGGTGAGGCCCTGTCCTCCCTGGCTCTTGGAACCCAGACTCCTATGGGAGTTGTCTGTGCTCTTTCGTCTTCCAGCAAGCAGAAGGGCTGCTCTGACAAACAGCTAATCAAGGACCTTGACTTAGGAGAGTGGAAAGAGGTATTCCTTTTCCTGGACGTCTTCCCCATGTCCTTCTCTAGTATCCTGGTGGGGAGGAACCTTCTTTAAGGTCCAAGAAGTTCTCTCCTTACATCTTTCTTTTCCTCTCTTTGCTTCCTTCCATTTGATCTTCCTTTCTATGTCTCCCAGTCCCTTGTGTCCTCGGCCTCTTCCAATCCTATTCCTGGTCCCTGGGATACTCAGCCATATCCAGGAACTTCCCCTTACCCCTTCACACCATGATGCTTCTGTATGCCTTCCCTCTGGAAGCCCACAGGAGCTTCAGCCTTGACCCCTATTTGTGGGTGCTCCTAACTGCAGGAGTGTCCAGTCCATTCAAGCATGCTCTGTCCTTTCTCAGCTTCACTCTTTTTTTTTCTCCTGTGCTGGTCCTGGGGTTTGAATTTGGGGCCTGGGCACTGTCCCCAAGCTTCTTTTGCTCAAGGCTAATACTGTACCACTTGAGCCATAGTTCCACTTCCAGCTTTTTTTGGGGTAGTCTATTGGAGATAAGAATCTCATGGACTTTCCTGCTTGGCCTGGTTTTGAACTGCAATTCTCACATCTCAGCCTCCTGAGTAGCTAGGGTTACAGGCTTGAGCCACTGTTGTCTGGGTCAGCCTCATTCTTGACTTCCTTATCTACATCCCCATCTTCTCCTTATTCCTTTCTCAAGGCCATTGTGGTTTGTGGACCTTTGTTTTTATTGCTGAGGCTGATTTTCTACCTCTCTTCCACAGTCCATATACCATCTTTCCTCTAGTTTTTCTCAGCTTATCCATGAATGACCTCTATATTTCTTTACTTGCCAGGATTTCAGCTTCTGGTTCAGCCTTGTCCTACCAACTCCCCAATGTTTGGGAATTCCATCCTCTCTTTCTTTCCCTTGTCTTAGGTGGGTTCAGAAAGTCACTGCTGATTTCCAATCAGGAGAACATTACCAATGATTCTGTCAAGTTGATTCTGGGGGTGAAGGGAGGCAGAGATTGGAGAGAAACCCCTAAGAAAGACACCCTGTATGGTCTGAGGAATAGGAATAATCCCATATTTGGCTTAAGGGATGAATACTCTTAATATCAAATTCCCAGCATCTTCCCATCTGAGAGATCAGAGAAAAGCTCCTGCCAACAGAATTTCCTTTTGGATGGCAAGTGAAATTTGGAGAGAGGTTTCTAGAGGTCCCCAATATCAGAAGATAGCCTTTCCCTCCTCTAAAACTAGAGCTCTTACAATTGGTTATACCTTCCTGCTATGTACCAGCCTTCGGCATGGAGTGTCCTAGGAGAATGAGGCTCTGAGGTGTGGCAAAGGAATTGAGATCCCCTTTGTCCACAGGCATAGATTGTGTGTTTAGAACAAGGCTCCTTCTGAATCTCAACTACCTCCCTGACACCCAGATATAACCAGGCTTCTCAGAGACTCGATCGTGGTATTCATCCTGTACCGTACACCTGTATCATGAACGGGTTGTATGTCCTTGTGAGTGTGAAAGTGGTTGGGATGGTCCAGTCTAGACCCCTGGATTAATGTGTCTTCATGCTCTTTGTACCCAGGTTGTCCTAACAGTACTTGTGCTATTGGCTTAAGTGACCCTGCCCTACTTATTTGGTTCTTGACTGATGCTCTTGACTCTTTTCTCCCCCCTCCCCCCGTATTTTCCCATTGATTCCCTTCTTTCCACTCAAATCCTTTCCTTCTAGCTAACAACCTGTGTTTTGCCTTGAAAACACCATTTGTCTTCAATGGTTTATTTTTGTTGGTCATGAGTCTTGAACTCTGGTAGATTACTAAGGTAGATTACAAACTGTAGGAACCAAGGGCTGTGACTTCAGTCTCTTCTGATTGGCCAAACACTTGGTAGGCATTCTACCTCAATGGGAGCACCATTGCTGTGGCACCATTTATAAGGAAAAACAAGCCTAGCCCAGTTGCCTTGAGTAGCCTATGTATGGCATCAGGAAAGGTGGACTTGACCAATGCATGATGACATTACAGAAGATGACACCTTTAGCAGAGCAAAGTATGGTCATGCTACCTCAATCCAGTGTGAGTAGAGAAACCTTTGTTGAGATGGGTTCTGTACATGGGCTCGGCCCCAGTGCCCAGCCTCCACATTTTCCATCTCTTGGAACTATTACCCTCCTCCAACCCATTTTTCCATCTAACCTCGTGAGAGTGTACCATTCTTATTGATGGTATAAAACACAGCCCTAAATTGTAGCAGTCTTGGGGATAGAATTGCTTCCTGTGGTCTCTCAAACCTCAGCTTTAGACACACAAATAAGAGAACAAAGATTAGCATACCTGTTACTGTTGGGGCAGAAAGAACAATGGAAGGCACTAGTAAGACTCCCTGATCGATGATGAAGGTTTTGACAGTGACCAGTAACTCTAGATTCTTACAATGTGATGGGCATTAGGCTGAATTTGTACATTATCCCTTTTTAAAGAAATGTATTTATTGTGGTTTTTTTGGTCAGTACTGGGGCTTGAACTCAGGGCTTGGGCGCTATCCCTGAGCTTCTTTTGCTCAAGACTAATGCTCTACCACTTGAGCCACAGCTCTACATCCAGCTTTTTCTGGGTAGTTTTATTGGAGTAGTTTTATAAGAGTCACACAAACTTTTCTGTCCAGGAACTACTACCCTCAGATCTCAGCCTCCTGAGTAGCTAAGATTACAGGCATGAGCCACCAGTACCTGATAGACTCTGCTCTGAGATTAATAGTCCTCCACAAGGAAAGCACAAGCACGGGGCTGCTTGTTCCCAGGTCTCTCCAGAGCCCATCCTGCGATGGAGATCGTGTCCTGTGTTAACTGGCAGATCTGGGAGTCAAGTTCGTATGGGAAGTGGCTCAAATATTTCCCATTTTCTCTTCCAGGACAGTGATTTGCAGTGACCCGGATATGACCCTGCCACCAGCATCTATCCCTCCGGACACCTGCAGGCTTCGGCTAGAGCGGACGGCCATCCGCAGGGTGCCAGGGGATGCCTTCAGGTCTTTGGCCCACCTGGAGCAGCTGTGGCTGCCCTTCAATGCCCTCAGTGAGCTCAGTGTGCTCATGCTGCGGGGTCTGCATCGCCTGCGGGAGCTGCGGCTGCCTGGGAACCGCCTGGTCACCTTCCCCTGGGCTGTGCTCAGGGACGCCCCCCAGATGCGGCTGCTGGACCTGCAGGCCAACCGCCTCTCTGTGGTGCCCCCTGAGGCTGCGCGCTTCCTAGGAAATCTCACCTTCTTGGACCTCTCCAGTAACCAGCTGATGAGGCTGCCGCAGGAGCTGCTGCTCACCTGGGCTCACTTGAAGACAGGGTCTTTCCTTCCAGGCCACCACACCAGGCTGGTCCTAGGTAAGCGATGGCGTCCTCCATCTCAATTTCCCCTTAGGAGCCTTGAGGTCATGAATAAGTTCCTAAGCTTCTCTAAGTCTTTTCCTCCTCCTCCTTCCCTTCTTCCCCTTCTTCCCCCTCCTCCTCCTCCTCCTCTCCTTCTCCTTCTCCTTCTTCTTCTTCTTCTTCTTCTTCTTCTTCTTCTTCTTCTTCTTCTTCTTCTTCTTCTTCTTCTTCTTCTTCTT